ATTACCAACACATGGTGATTATTACTTAATATTATTTATTCCCTTGATATTTAAAACAAATCCTATGTTTAAAGTCATACAGAGCTTTCTTTCTTTTTTTTTTAATTTTAAATTGAATTTATTGGTACATTCTAGGTAAACAGTACAGTTACATTCATTACTGGGATCTTGTACCTTTACATGCCAGGTCTTGGTTCTCATTTTTTCCCCTTGTCCCCACCCTCCCTTCACCCTCCCCTGCCCCCTTCCAAACATTTTAATTCCATTTTTACATTTTCTTATATTTTTTTCCTTTTCCCTTATTCCCCTTTCCCTATCCTTCTCACTGTCCCTACACCTTTGGTCCTTTTCTTCCTATTTCACATTGCTAATGGCCCCGTTAGGATCTTGAGTACTATTTTAGTTTTTCACACCAGAGAAACTATTCGGTATTTACACATGTGTGACTTACTTATTTCACTTAGGAGTATATCCTCAAAATGTACCCATTTACCTATGAATGAATCTACTTTCTCATTCTTTATGGCTGAGTAGTATTCCATTTTATAGAAAAACCACATCTTCTTTATCCAGTCTCCAACTGATGGGCAGATGGGCTGATTCCAAGTTTTAGCTATTACAAACTGTGCCGCTACAAACATAGGTGCACATATATCACTGTGGTATGATTCTTTTAATTCTTTTGGAAAGATACCCAGCAGAGGGATGGCTTGGTCAAATGGAACCTCTAATCCTAGTTCTTTGAGATATGTCCATATTGATTTCCACAGTGGTTGTACCAGTCTGCACTCCCACCAACAATGGAAAAGGCTTCCTTTCTCCCCACAACCACGCCAGCATTTGCTGTTGTGTGATTTCTTGATAGCAGCCTTTCTTTGTGGAGTGAGGTGAAATCTCAGTGTTGTTTTCATCTGCATCTCTCGAATGACCAGTGATGTGGAACATTTTTTCATATATTTACTTGCTGCTTTTATTTCTTTGTCTGAGAAATGTCTGTTCATTTCAGATGCCCATTTTAGAATTGGATCTTTATACTTGGAGGAGCTGGTTGTTTTGAGTTCTTTATATATTTTAGATAATAGTCCTTTGTCTGAGGAGCAGCTGGTAAAAAGTTTTTCCCACATTTTAGGTTGTCTTTTAGTTCTGTTGATGGTTTCTTTTGCAGTATAGAAGCTTTTTAATAAGATGAATGTCTGTTCATTTCAGATGCCCATTTTAGAATTGGATCTTTATACTTGGAGGAGCTGGTTGTTTTGAGTTCTTTATATATTTTAGATAATAGTCCTTTGTCTGAGGAGCAGCTGGTAAAAAGTTTTTCCCACATTTTAGGTTGTCTTTTAGTTCTGTTGATGGTTTCTTTTGCAGTATAGAAGCTTTTTAATAAGATGAGATATCAGTTGTTGATTTTTTCTGCTAGTTCCCGTGCTACTGAGGATTTGTTCGTAAAGTCTTTTCCTATGCCAATGTCTTCCAAAGTTCTGCCTAACTTATCTTCCAGCAAGTTTAGTGTTTCTTTTTTTATATTTAGATCTTTAATCCACTTGGATTTTAATTTAGTGCATGGTGACAGAAAAGGGTCTAGTTTTAATCTTTTGCAGGTTGAGATCTGGTTTTTCCAGTGCCATTTATTAAAGAGGCTATCTTTCCTCCAGTGGGGACTGTCAGCTCTTTTGTCAAAGATGAGGTAGCTGAGTGCATCTGGAGTTGTTTTTGTGTCTTCCAATCTGTTCCACTGATCCTCAGATCTGTTTCTTTGCCAGTACCATGCTGTTTTTTTATCACAGTGGCTTTGTAGTATAGTTTCAAATTGGGAATTGTTGTACCCGCTGCCATGTCCCTGCTGCCTAGGATGGCTTTTGCTATTCTAGGTCTCTTATGGTTCCAAATGAATTTTTGGAATCTTCTTTCTAGTTCTGTGAAGTATTATGTTGGGATTTCAGTTGGCATTGCATTGAATCTGTATAGCAGTTTTGGTAGTATGGCCATTTTCACTATGTTGATTCTTCCTACCCAGGAGCAGGGGAGATCTTTCCATTTTCTTATATCCTCTTCGATCTCTTTTTTCAGAGTGCTGTAGTCTTCAGTGTAGAGGTCTTTTGCTTCTTTTGTTAGATTGATTCCCAGATACTTCATTTTTGGGGGTGCTATTGTGAAAGGAATTGTTTCCCTAATTTCTTTCTCAGTGGGTCTATTGTTTGTGTACAAGAAGGCTATTGATTTTTGGGTGTTGACCTTGTATCCAGCTACTCTGCTAAAAGTGTCAGTTAAGTCAAGAAGTCTTTTGGTGGATTTTTTTGGGTCTTCAATGTAGGGTATCATATCATCAGCAAATAATGACAGTTTAACTTCTTCCTTTCCTATCTTTATTGCTTTAATTTCTTTCTCTTGTCTAATTGCTATGTTTCCAGAGCTATATCGAAGAGGAGTGGTGATAGTGGGCATCCTTGTCTTGTTCCTGATTTTAACGTGAAGGTTTTCAGTTTTTGGCCATTTAATATGATATTGGCTGTTGGTTTTTCATAGATAGCCTTTATTAAGTTGAGACATAGACCATCTATTCCAATTTTTTGCAGAGTTTTTATCATGAATGGGTGTTGAAGTTTGTCAAATGCTTTTTCTGCATCTATCGAGAGGAACATGTGGTTATTGTCCCTCAGAGCTTTCTTATATAGTCATCTACATTGTCTTAGTTCCCTTTTTCTTTTTTCTGAGACAAAATACCCAACATCCAAACTTAAAAGGGATAAGGGTTCATTCAGCTCATAGTTTGTAGAGGTTTCAGTCCATCACTGGTTCCGAGCAGAGTGGCCTCACACGTAACAGAGGGGCCTCGCAGAGGATAAACAGTTCATGGCACCCACACAGTAGCAAAAGCAACAAGGGAGCCTTAACAGTGTCTCTGCCCCATTTATCTTATTCAGAATACCAGATTGTGGTGGTGCCAAACCATTCATGTACTGATTTGGTAATCACAGGCCCTTAATCCCAGCATCATACACTCTAGATTCAGCCACCACTGAAAAATCCACCCACGACCACATAAGGCTTTGGGGGGACATTTAGACACAAACTATAACATAGATTTCTTTTTAAGCTCATCCCTTTATCCAACTATAGGTCGTTGTTTATTTATACATGAAAACATTTCTATGCACTCGTCTTATGCCTTTGTATTATTTTGAAAATCTTTGTCCTCATTTTAATTAATTGAAGTATAAAGTGAATTACTATTCTTCATAATTTGTCAGAGATTTTGCCTCTGTGTTTACCTGGACTATTTGTCAGGAATACGCTAAAGTTGTAGATCCGAACTGGTTTGTAAGCTTCTAATCTTATTCCAAACAATGTGGGATTGTGACCTGAAACATAATGACCAACCCTGGGATTTCTATCCTCTAAGGCTCTGGGAACATGAAAAACTTGGGCTGTCTTCAGTTTCCTGCAGTTTTGTGTACATGTACTTGCTAGCCCCCATTTGTCCAGTGGACCTGAGACTCCTTCCCCGGTGATTAAATCAGGCCCTGAGATTAACTGTTCCAAACCAACAGGGGACCACTTCATTCTTCTGCATTCTTACGAGCAGCACTGATTTGATAAATCAGATATCGGGCTATGGTATGAAAAATAACTTTTTAGATAACTTCTAAATAGCACCATGGTATTGCTCCCTAGAACACTTTGTGTTTCAGACTCACAGAGTTTAAACAGACCCTTTGAACAAATACTTTCCTGTCATTAACTGATCTAGCAGTCTCACCAGAGCAAAATTAGGAACTCAGAGTCTCTTATTCAGTAAGGAAAACTTGTGTTAGCTTGAGGGAGAGTGTGTATATGGTGTGTGTGGTACTAGGGATTGAACTCTGGACCTTGCACATACTATGAGAGCATACAATACCACAGAGTCACATCCCCAGCCCTTTTTATTTTGAGACGCGGTCTCAGTATGTTGCCCAGGCTAAGCCTGAATTTGTGATCCTCCTTCCTTAGCCTCCTGAATAGCTGGGTCGATAGTATGCACTGCTCTGTCTGTCTTGGCTTGAGTTTTTGTTTTTTGCCTATCTTAGCCTATCTCTGAAATGGTATGTGGTTCTTCTATGCTAAATTATTATTTGAAACCAAACAGAGGCTTTCTTTTGGATGTACCTGGTATTGTGATAAATTAATAAGTTTGTCGGGCTGGGGATTTAGCTCAGTTGGTTCTGTGGCCTGCCTCACAAGCCCAAGGTCCCGAGTTCAATCCCCAGTACCAATAATAATTTTTTAAAAAGTAGATTATAGTTGAGTTCTCAGATTTGTAAGTTTTTAGAAAAAAAAAACAAAATGAAAAATATGGGCAGGGTATTTAGCTCAGTGGTTCTACTGCCTGCTTTGCAAGCATAAGGTCCCAAGTTCGATCCCCACTACAGAAAAACAACAACAACAACAACTTTCAGGGGCCAAGGATTTAGCTCAGTGGTTCGGTGGCCTGCCTTGCAAGCGCAATGACCCGAGTTCAATCCCCGGTTCCAAAAAATAAATAAATAAATAAAGCAACTTTTAGAGAAAAATATTTTCTCCTAGATTGCAATGTTTGTGTGATACTTTTTGAATTAAAAACTCATAAAATATTTCATTAAAATATGGCTTTTGAGGGATATGTGGAGACAGTTTTGATGTAGTACGTACCCTGATGACAGGTCATCTGACTTGGACTAAGTTAATGACCACAGCTACCTACAGTAGTAATACTTGCTTCGCAGAGTTGTTATAGGGATTGAGTGAATTAATACATGTGAACTACTTAGCCTAGCACCCAGCACATAGTAGCTTCTAGTGAGTGTTTGCTAAATAAACAATCAAATCTGAATATAGAGAGGTTGACCTTTCTAAAAATCTCAAACCAGTTTAAGGAAAGAACTGAAATGCTACAATCTGCTTTTTTTCAGCTTATCTTTATCAAAGAACTTCTTTCCCACATACATAAGTGGTTGCTCAGTTAAATAACCTCTCTCTTTTTAAAGATTCGCCGGTTCTCAGTCCAGCTAATTCTGCAATCAATTTAAGTGGCGCTCAGGACCTGACCCGGAATAAGAGTGTTGTGAAACCACTGGCTTTGTCTTTGCAGACTGTAGGGAAGACTTTTGCCACAGGTGATTGTCCTTACTTACGTTTCTTTGGTAAATACATAATTTATCAAAGATGTATGTGATCTCTGTAATCGCATAATGTTATACAAAGCTTTGTGTTTTCTCTGTGCCAAACACAGGAGTCAGAATCATGTCTGCTACACAGAAGAGACACTGTAGTTTGAGTCTGTTCAGAAAAATTTCTATAATTTCTAAAACTATAAAGCAAATAGAAAATGTTTAAGATTTTAAGATATAAAAACAAAGATCTGGGCCGGGTATTTAGCTCAGTGGTTCCACCGCCTGCCTCACAAATGCAAGGTCTCGAGTTTGATCCCCGGTACCTCCCCCAAAAGCAAATAAAAACAAAGATCCTAAAACCAACATTTAGAATATAAAAACAAGGCATAATGCAAATAAGGATCCCAAATATCTTTGCAGTCTACTGGGGGAGATAGGCCTGCTACAAGATATTTTCAGTGTACTGCAGCCCAACGTTTTAGGGAGTAATCAGGAGTGAGTTCTTAGAGAAGCTTGTTTGTTCTTTAACAGTAACAAGATAGGCACTCGACAGAAGAGTAGAGGAAAAGCTTTTAAAATTAGCAGAAGAGCAGGAACAAAAGTTAAAAGAAAAAGAAGGGAAAGAAAAGGTGGAAAGGAGCATGGCATGTACAAAGACTCCCAGCAGTTCGGACTTGTTGGAATCATAAAAAGTACAATTCAGTGGGCTGGGGATTTAGCTCAGTGACACTGCGTCTGCCTTGCAAGCTCAAAGTCCCAAGTTCGATCCCCAGTACCAAAAAAAAAAAAAAAGTACAGCTTGGGAGCTGCAGGAGATGATCAGGTGGTGAGCAAGGGAAGAGTCATGGGGAGCAACTGAGAAGCGTGGCTTTTACTCTGTAACGTACAGAGAAGAGCGACGGCATGCTCTGGTGTGAACTTGTGTTAGAGCACTTTGGCAGTGATGTGTATGAATCCAAGAGGAGGGAAAGCTAGCTGGGGTCACTTCAGGGATCCAAGTGAGAAATGATGAGGTCCTTGGCCAGGGGAATAGGTTGGAGAGGAGGAGGCAGATTGGAGAGCTACCGGAGGAGTAAAATCAGCAGGACTTGACTGATTAATAGGAGTGTAGAGGAGTCAGCGTCTCAGCTGAGGTCCATCTTGCTGGGCTGACATCGCTATCTCTGGAGACAGGGAATGTAGGAGGAGCAGGTGACCTAGGAGGAGACTGCCGGGGAGCTGTTCACCGTCATTTAACTTACCAAGGTGGAAATCAGGGCTGATTGGAGCTGAGCCACCACCATATAGTTAAATCATCAGAGCAAACAGTATTAGCCAAGGAGAGGCACGGGGAGGGATTCTGACTGTGAACTAAGTGAGGATGGACTCCTCCAAAGTCCAGTGTTTAGGGAGAAGAAATGGAGACGTAGAAGGAGGATGCGGAACGAGGAAACTTCTCAACAGTTAATGTGTCATAATTTACTCACCCACCTTTGCTCTTACTCCAGCCTAGTGACTCCTGCAGGACCCACCTCAAGTTGGACTACAGACTTGAGCAAAATCGTTTCAGTTTTCACAGCTGTTAAAAGAGTGAAGCTGGGCGTGGTGGTGCACACACCTGTAATCCCAGTACTTGGGAGGCAGAGGCAGGAGGATCACTGTGACTTCGAGACCAGCCTGGGCTACATAGTGAGTTCCAGGTCAGTCTCAACCACATAGTGAGAGGGGCCAGGGATTTGGCTCAGTGGTTCCACCGCCTGCCTGGCAAGCACAAGGACCCGATTTCAATTCCTGGTACAAAAAAAAAATCAACTACATAGTGAGACCCTGTCTCAAAAAAAAAAGTCAGTGAAGGGCCCGTGATGTTGCTCAGTGGTGCCACACCTGCCTCACAAGTGCAAGGTCCTGAGTTTAATCCTTGGTACCAAAAATAAATAAAAAGTCAGTGAAGTAATGTCACTAAGCATCTTGCTTAATAAAGCCATCAGATGAAAGGCTGATGAACTTCATAATGCAAGGATTAGGCTGCCAGTTCTTCAATTCATTGATCATTCTTAGTAGCGTAAGAAAAGAGAAAACTGGTCATTGTATGGCTCCTGGCAGGAATGTACAGCAGTACCTGAGAGAGCCTTTTGCCAAAAAAAAGAGAGAGAGAGAGAATGTGAATTTGATCAAGTGTCTGTATCTGTTTTTTGGAAATACAGGGGACAAAACATTAAATGACACCTCAGGTATCCAGTCAGCAAAATCCAGAAAATGGAATTTCTGCAAAGTTGGCAGAATGAAAATATGTAATTGTAAGAGAAAAAAAAAAAAAAAAAGATGGGGAACCCTATAGATTGAAAGAGGTTGAAGGGACATATTAACTAAATTTGATATGTGAACCTTTTTGAATCTCAATTTGAACAAACCAGACATAAAAGTCATTCTGAGATAACAGAAAAATTAGAATACAGATGAGATAATTGATGATATTAATAGACTATTAATCAGTGCTAATTTTAGGTGTAGTAATGACACATTAGAGTTTCACTTTTGAAAGAATCCTTTTAGTTACACATATAGAAGTACTTATGAATGAAGTCATATGATAAATGGATTTGTTTCAAAATACCTCAGCATATATGTGTGCAGGGGGAAGAGGTACAGGGTGTAGAAGAAGCAAAATTGGCTATGTGTTAAGAAATGGTAGGCTGGGCGTGGTGGCGCATGCCTGTAATCCCAGCACTGGGGAGGCTGAGGCAGGAGGATCGCTGTGAGTTCGAGACCAGCCTGGGCTACACAGTGAGTTCCAGAACAGTCTCAACTACATAGTGAGACCCTGTCTCAAAAACAAACAAGCAAAAAGAAATGGTGATGTTGTATCATGGATATGTAGAAGTTCATTATGTTATTCTCTCTCCTTTTATTTATGTTTGGCTTTTTCCATGATGCAATGTTAAAATAATAATAATAGTTTTCCCCCATTCTACCACCTCCAAAGACTCCACTGGAAGTTATTCCAGCACCACGCATGGTGGTGCACGCCTGTAATCCCACACTTGGGAGGGCGAAGGAGGAGGACTGCAAGTCTAAGGCCAGCCGTGGCTACACAGTGAGTTCACTGCTTTCTGCAAAGCAGCCGCCATCTGATCAGATGCACACTTGAGGATCTGAGGAATCCTTACTGTAGGACTCCACCCACTCCTTAACCCAGCATGGACTACACAGCAAGACCTAGGCAAAGAAAAAACATGATTCTGAGGGATCTCTTGGGGGTCTTAGGAAACATGTTCTTCTAATTGACGCACGGCATCTAACTGTACCGAAGGCACTGCTTGGATGGTTGTAGCTGGCTTTATGGGACTGGGCTGAGTCCTTCACTGAGGTTTCCCCAAATCTCAAGTGTGAGGTTGCTCAAAGGGCAGCAGCACCGCAGAAAGCCATGTCCACCCCGCCTGAGTCCTTAGTAGCCCCCTCCTGTCCTACAGATGCTGCCAGTGGGAGCAGCAGCCATGGAGGGAAGACAGCCGCATCCATCTTCACCCCGGCCCGCCCAGGGAGCTACTCCTTGTCACCACGACCTAGTTATGCGGCTGTAGACCAAGGTACAGCACCCATTAGAGTACTGAAACAGTGCGCCTTGTAGTAGGAGAAGAACTACAGATTTTTGAACACTGAATGATCTGACACAGGCTCTGGAGTTTTTCCTTTGCTTGTTACACATGTCTTGAAGGTTTATGGTTGGTCTGAGCAATAATATTTAAATATCTTGGTGATTTTGCATTCAAGAGCCTAATTGGGTACTAAATGTTGAAACAAATGCATAAGAAAACATCTTTAAAAACCATGAATTTTGGGGCCGGGGATTTAGCTCAGTGGTTCTGCCACCTGCTTTGTAGGCACAAGGTCCTGAATTCGATCCCCGGTACCCAAAAAAACCAAAAATCATTAATTTTGCTGACTAGTGCACAGGACTCACTGTTCCTCTTTGTTGTATGACCCTGGACATAACACTTGTCCTACAGATTCACAGCAATGGTCATAGAATCAAATGAAATAATCTGAATAAAATTGTAAAACAGCATACAGATTTTTAGGTATCCTAGTCTGGTGTTGGATTCATTTGTGTGGCTTTTTCTAACTTTTTATCTTTACCTCTAGAAGAGTAACTTAGACCTTCTGAGTAAATCAAAGTAAAGATCCTATGTCACTTTGGCATTCACTTTTCGTCCACACTGCGGAGGACAAAGCTATCTTCCTTTTTATCTTCAGCTGCCATCTTCACTTGCGGACCACCAAAGAAAAGACACCGGGGATGGTATCCTGGGTCACCTGTCCCCCAACCTGGTTTAGTTGTACCTGTTCCTACAATTCGCCCCCTTTCAAGAACTGGTAAGATTTTAACAGAGAGTTAAACATTTTTAAAATTATTATTATTATTATTGTTACTCTGTTTGGTTTTGTTTTTGGTACCGAGGACCAAACTCTGATTTTGCACCTGAGAGGCAGGCAGCGGAACCAATGAGCTAAATCCCAGGCCCTTAATTATTATTATTAGCAAAGGTATCTTCTAGACTTGTTCTTTCCCTGAAAGCTTGAAGGTAAATTTCCTTCCTTGCATCCAAAATTCCATAAGGGCTCTGACAGTAGCTAATATTTTGGCCCCCTCACATCTGCTTCCCCTACAAGCACACGTACTATCACAATTGACTTTCATTCAGCCTTCAGCTTAGTTTTAATCCATAAAACTCATGATAAGCCATTCACAAGGCACAAATGGATGTGCTCTGTCAGTAGTGGCATTCGATTTGCCCTTCAGTGGTCTGATTCTTTGAGTGACCTGTACTTGTTACTCCTGGCTTCTGTGGTTTTGTCTGTGGCTAGAATCTGCAGGACCAACTGGTTCTCCTCCGTGCACTCCAAACTGTGGCTCTTTGGTGGCTACAGTTACACATCCAAACATTTGTCTACCTTGTGCTAAATAGACAACTCTTAAGTGTACCATTTCTAAGACAGGTGGGATTCTCTAAAAACTTAAATTCGTTTAAATGAATAACTTTAAAGACTGCATATTTACAAAGAATTATACCAGTGTGTTACTGTAGCTGTCTTCTGGTGGTACTGATTAATGATGAAGGTATCTTTCTTCATATTTGTCTGTTCTTTTCAAAGTTTACACAGTGGGCAAATATGCTTTTGGTAACCTGGGGAGTGGGGAGAAAAATACCCAACAAAATCCCAAAGATTGCGTGTGGAAAAAGAACCAGAAAACTACTAAAATGCCAAATGGTAGTTATCTCCTAATGCTATGACTATAGTTAGTTTTCTTCTTCCCTTTGTTTTTTTACTCCTAATTTTATATGATACACATTAACTATTTTAATAAAGATCCATAAAACTATTAGATTTATAAAATGTCTATATTTATGTGATCAGAACTGCATTTTTAATTGTATTTCCTTCAGTTTTCGTATCTAATCCTTCTTGTTAAACAACTTTTTTTTTCCAGAGCCCCTTTTATCTGCCCCAGTTCCACAGACCCCATTAACTGGAATTTTACAACCTCGGCCCATTCCTGCAGGGGAAACTGTAATGGTTCCTGAAAACCTGCTGAGTAACTCAGGAGTTAGACCAGTAATTTTGATCGGTAAGGCAAGGGAACACCAAGGTGCCTGTGTTCTCTGGAATCTGGGAATGTTTCTCCACGTCATTGTGGCTTTCCTCACACATTCATGCATGTATTCGTTTGATTCCTCGAGCTTTTATCAGTCAGCGTCCTCATGCTGTATTCAACATGTGAGTAGAAGCGGAGAATAAGGCAAAGTCTTCTTGCCCTCACGGAGCACTGTTCAGTGGGGGCGCCTGACGCCTCACTAGCACTGTGAGCGTAAACAACCATTGTCACATACCGGTGAGGACATTGCCGCACACAGAATCCCAGGCTAGCAGAGGTCACAGCCAAGAGCTGCAGTAACTCAGAGGAGAGGACTTACTCTGCATGAGGGCCTAAGACTCCTCAGAAGTGTTTAAGCCAGAACCTGAAGGTTGCTCAGAGTGGACAGGATGGGGAGGGGACAGTCCAGTCAAGGAAGCCAAACAACACGGGGAAGAAGCAAGCTAAGAGAGCTCCCAGCCTCACCCCAGGGAACCCAGAAGAGAAGCCCCAACGGTGGCCCCACAGCTGGCCATCTGGGCAGTGGGAAGTACATTCACATCAGTGTCCCTAGAGTCTTTGTCCTTCTAGGCTGACTGAATGTGGAGGGACAGAAATGTAGAGGCTCCTAGGTTATAAGACTAATGGAGCACATTTCATACTCACTTTGAAAGTTGCCTAGGGCCAGGGGTGTAGCTCAGTGGTGCTGTGCCTGCCTGGCAGGCACAAGGACTTGAGTTTGATTCCCGGTACCAAAAAAAAAAAGAAAAGATTTTCTGAAAGTATTCTCGGTGTGGGGTCAGCCTAGGCCAGGAGGGGACTATCTGCTTTCCCTGACAGGTAGGTGTGCCTGCATGAGGTGTTATCTGTTCTTGAGGTTGGCCTGAGTGCGATCTGGTTTTGCTTCAAGCCCTGTCCTTTATCAGGTCCCTTTCCACAGATCCTAGGCATTTGGGAGTCCCAGCTGTTTAAATCCCATATAGTTTAGGAAGTTCTTTCTGAGTCTTAGCATAATGTAACTAAGCCTTGGAAAGATGCATAAAGCATGGGATTCTTTGGTGACTGACTTTTAGAAAATGTCTCAGAGGAGCTGTGATGTCCAGCAGGCCACCAGAACAGAAGTACACTTTCAACATAGTTGTATTTTATCTACTTCTAAGATAATCATCTGAGGCTGTTTATTGACATTCAAGAAGAAAACCTCACAAAAATCGCTGAGATAACAAAAGGAGTAGGAATCCCCAAGCACTGCAACTGATAGAACATTGCTTTCAGTCACTGAATTTTCCTCAAAAGTTTTTCCCCAAAAACCTTAGGAAGTTTGAAATATGTTACTGTAGTTTGTTTACTTTCTCACTGAAAAGAAACATGGTCGAGAATTTTGCAGAAGATATTTTATCATCTCAGTTTTACAGAGGATCCAGAAACATTTTGCAAACTCTTCAATCTTCTACAGCAGCAGTATAATATATATATATATATATAT